TGAAAAACATACAATTTCTTGGCCTTATTTTATTTAAATAATAAATCAGATAATTATCAAATACTAACTAGAGGGGGGAGATGAAAGTGTAGTTTTGTGTAGTTTTTGTGCAGTTTTGTGTATTTTTGTGTATTTTTGTGTAGTTTTGTGTATTTTTGTGTATTTTTGATGAATTTTTGTGTAGTTTTGTGTATTTTTGTGTATTTTTGTGTATTTTTGTGTAGTTTTGTGTAGTTTTGTGTATTTTTGTGTAGTTTTGTGTATTTTTGTGTAGTTTTGTGTAGTTTTGTGCAGTTTTGTGCAGTTTTGTGTATTTTTGTGTATTTTTGTGCAGTTTTTTCCAGTTTTGTGTATTTTTGTGTAGTTCTGTGCAGTTTTGTGTAGTTTTGTGTAGTTTTGTGTAGTTTTTGTATAGTTTTGTGTATTTTTGTGTATTTTTGTGTAGTTTTGTGTATTTATGTGTATTTTTGTGTAGTTTGTGTAGTTTTGTGTAGTTTTTGTGCAGTTTTGAGCACGTTTTGAGCACGTTTTGAGCACGTTTTGTGTGGTATTGTGTATTTTTTTGTATTTTTGTGTAGTTTTGTGTAGTTTTATGCAGTTTTGTGTAGTTTTGTGTTTTTGTGTATTTTTGTGTAGTTTTGTGTAGTTTTGTGCAGTTTTGTGTAGTTTTGTGTTTTTTGTGTAGTGTTGTGTAGTTTTGAAATTTCAAGTGACCGTCCATGCTTGATTTACAACGGTAGTATTGAAACCATTATCTGGTCAATAATGAGGAGGACATGTTATGTTTTTCTAGGTTTAAATGTGTGAAAATCTGTTAATTACTTCTGCAGGAAGCCATAGATATGATTTCCTGCAGTAGAACTGTACTAGTCACTTTTGAAGAGAAACCACAATTGAAATTTTGAATTTCTAAACATTGATATTTAAATTTTGATTCAGTTAATGCTTTAAAGGGAGTGCCATTTTGGTTCAACCTTGATCAATCAAAGCTTTACAGGGAGTGTTCGCGAAAAATAAAACGACTTATACTAAAGAAAGTAGCGTCCAAACAAATTCAGGAAGGAAATGAGTAATTAATTAGTAGAAAAATAGTATGAAGTAGGCCTAGCGTTAACTTAATATTGAGGTAGTATAAAAAGAAGGTTATTTAAAAGTAAAGTAGTTTAGAGCAAAAAAGTCTAAAGAAGGTGAGGGTTTCCAGCAGAGTATAATAGAGAAGGGTTTAGAGCAGAGTATATCAGAGAAGGGTTTCTTTGCATCCTTGTGTAGTAGATTTTTGATATTTTTAATTTTAATCTCTGTCAGATTAAACAGTCAAGTTTGAAATATCAAAGGTGTTTACCATCAGGGTGCAACGACATAGGGAAGAAAAAAATTTGAACTTGTGGCAAAAACTCAACTCATTTAAGAGGAGGGTTTTAAGCAAGTGAAGGGTAGGGTTTAGAGTAGGTTTTTTTTATTAAATGGTAGCTAGCTAGTTTGTAAAAGGGTTGTTTATAAAAGGTAGCTAGTATAGGTTTTGTTTTTAGAGTAATGTTGAATTCGGAGTTAAGTTGAAATGTAATCAATCCTTGCTTCGTATACAACTCTATCCTAATCTTTAGCTTTTCTCTTGTAAGAGTTGTTTATCAGTGGAGATAAAACATCTACAGGGTGTCCCACGAAACATCACAGTGTTAAATAGCTGTAAATGTTTTTTTCCATATACTTATTAAATTCATGTTCCTTCAATTCTTGAATTGAAAATTCATGTTCCTTCAATTCTTGAATTGAAAATTCGTGTTCCTTCAATTATTGAATTGATCAATTTATTAAATTCATGTTCCTTCAATTATTGAATTGATCAATTTATTAAATTCATGTTCCTTCAATTATTGAATTGATCAATTTATTAAATTCATGTTCCTTCAATTCTTGAATTTAAAATTCATGTTCCTTCAATTGTTGAATTGAAAATTTATGTTCCTTCAATTCTTGAATTGATCAATTTATTAAATTCCTATATCCCTTCTTCCCTCACACTATAATGGATGTTTAATGTTATAATAACTATTTATAACACTGTTATTTTGGTTCTCAGTTTTTTGACAGAAAATTTCTCTTTATCGAGCAGGTTCAAGTCTTTTTAGATTTAATTTTGTTCCGAACTTTAGCGAGGGACGAAATATAACCTTCGAGATATAGAGAAAATTTGAGTCCAAAAACTTTATAGCACGTCGTGCTAAAATAATAGTGTTATGGTTAATTGTGTACTTGTCTTATTTCAATGGTTATTTTTAGATCAAATAAGCTTGGAAACAAAGCAGAGATAAAAATATAAAGTTTATTTCAATTTTATTTTTATTTTAATTAAAAAAGATATTTTGAATATATCCTAAATTTTTGGAGAACATCCGGGAACCAATCAACACTTTTTAGCACACGTGCTATAATGTACAGCCAATTTAACTTTATAGCACGATGATTACTTTATATAGCCACGTTGATTATGAAATTCACGATGAAGTGAGTAGGAATGATAAAGTACACAATAGTTTCATAATCATTTATTATCAGTTTTCAAACTTTTCTTTCTCCAAATCTAGCTTAGAGCTCTTCCAACAATTTAACGGTAGAAAACGTGCTGAAAAGGAAGTTGCAAAAACATTTAAGTTTCTTTCTAAAATATTTTTAAATCTTATTCTTACTATTCACTAAATGTAGGTTTTTTTGATAAATTCAAATGCATTAAAAATCTGACCTTTTAGGGCTCTCATTCAGGTGACTTTTATAAAATATATATCATATTAACAACTTTTTTGGTGTATAGTTCTCAAAAAACTCATTCATGAGGCATTGTTTTTCCCCAATATTGAAAAAAATATTTATAAAAAATCTCATGATATAATATCGTATACCCTGTTTTCCACAATTGCCCCTTAAAAGGGCATTTTAAGGGGCAAAACTGAATTTGCAATTTTGGTAATTTTTAAATAATTTACAAATTTAGGAAAAATGGTCTAAAACAGTTGCCAAAAATCTTCAAAAACATTACATTACCTTGTGTCGAAAATTATTGAATTGCGCAGCTGTTTCTTCCATGATTTAATATTTCTTTTATAAAACCTAGAAATAAAAAAAATATGTGCAACTTTCAGTATGACCCACAAGTTGTGCATATTCTTTTGTTTTTCTTTAGCTGTATGTTTATTGATTTCTTTATTAAATGAGGGGAAGGTTTAGTTCTGAGAAGTAAAGAAAAGTTTGATAAAAATCACTTCAGAAACTAACATAATTCAATAAAACAGAGGGAGCCAAGCTATGGAAGATATCAATCAGAAATAATGAAATTATAGTTTTAGAGTTGTTTGCTCCATTTTTACATAGTTATTAGATGTATACTATACATAGTAGTAATCATTTAGTATAAAATTTTTTAATACAGGGTCACCAACAGATAATGAAACAATAAGGACGACATTCAAATTCTTATATTGAATTTTTATAGGTTTAAATGATTTAAAATTGACAGTTAGGACATATCATTCAAGAACAGTCCCTTCTTTTGACGCATTTTGTCTTTAAGTGACGCAAATTGCGTACTATATGTATAGATCTAACTAACCTTAATTTTTTGTGATGATGTAAGCATCGTTTCTGACTCTAAAGATCTGATTTAACAGTTTATATTCAGCTTTTACGGAATCTATCAACACTACATAGTAGCATAGTAGTAACGAGGTTAGATCAAGAAAACAGGAACAAATCTAACAAACCTATCTATTTTTAATTGTTTAAATACGTTAAGTAAGATTTTATCTTTTACTTTTATTTAATTGAAAAATCGTTTCCCCCTGCACCCCCACGCCAGAATATTTAGGGTTAATATTGTTACGTCAGAATATATAGGGTTAATATTGTTACACCAGAATATATAGGGTTAATATTGTTACACCAGAATATATAGGGTTAATATTGTTACGCCAGAATATATAGGATTAATATTGTTACGCCATAATATATAGGGTTAATATTGTTACGCCAGAATATATAGGGTTAATATTGTTATATTTTATATTTTATTTTATGGTCTTTGACAAGCTGGGATATTTTATTAAAATAGAATATCTTTTACTTTTTACAAAGCACAGATTACAATTTTCACCATACAATGTACAATATACAAACACAAATATTCAAAACAAAATGTATATTTTATACAAAAATATAGTATCTTCAAATTTTTAAAAAATGTTCTCTTAAATTAGACTTTTGCATAGCAACCCAACTAGACTTGGGGTTCTTAAAAATCAGAATCGATGGATTGATTCCTGCAAAAAGTTTCTGCAAATTAGACTTTGATTAGTTTTTAAAGATTGCCCCTTTAAATTTGTTTTAAAAGATTGTCTCTTTAAAGAAGAATTGAACTAGTTTAATAAAACCCTAGTTCTACATTAAGTGTAATTTACCTCTCTCCACGGTTTTAATATTAAACTCAGTTTCTTTGCAATTCTCAATAATAAAACTTTAATATTAACTCATTTCAATTCATCCCTCTACATAAATTCCAATTCATCCCTCTATACATAAATTCCAATTTATCCCTCTGTATGAATTCCAATTCATCCCTCTACATAAATTCCAATTCATCCCTCTACATAAATTCCAATTCATCTCTCTTCATAAATTCCAATTCATCCCTCTACATAAATTCCAATTCATCCCTCTACATAAATTCCAATTCATCCCTCTTCATAAATTCCAATTCAGCCATCTACAAAGTTTCCAAATCAACCCTCTTCATAAATTCCAATTCAACCCTCTTCATAAATTCCAATTCATTCCTCCACAAAAATTTCAATTCATCCATCTACAAAAATTCCAATTCATCCCTCTACATAAATTCCCTCAACTGACTTTTCCTGTATGCCAAACCAAACCCCCCACCCCTCCCCTCCATCAACATATTTCTCCCCATATCCTCCTGTTGTTCTTTCAGTGTTAAGAAATGTGTCTGTTTCAGATATAATGATTTCCAATTGTACAAGAACAAGAAAACAAGAGGTTTGAGACAGAAAAAGAGGAAAATACAAACATACAAATATACAGGTATATACAGTGATACCCATAAAACTGTGTCGAGTAGGATGAAGACTGTTAGACTGTATTTATGTTTTTTAATAGTGCAATGAATATGAATCACAGCAACATGATATTCTGTAAACCTGCAGTACGTTGTATATCATTATTAACAATCTATGTTTGTAAACATGATACGTATTCATGGGATATATATTGACGTACATCTAAATTGCGTCGATTTCAACACACAAACCCATAATTATTCAGTTAGTTGAATTTTAATCTACTGGTAAAATTATTTGCATATAACAACATTAAATTTTAATAAGTCTTCTTCCTTTTCCTCAGGATTATGGGTACAACGTAGGAAACATACAAACATACAAATATTGATTAAAATGTCCTAAGTTCCGGTATTCTTGGTTAAACTATATCCTTGGAAAACATTCTTATCTCCAGTATCCCTGGATATATTTCTTATCTCCAGTATCCCTGGATATATTTCTTATCTCCAGTATCCCTGGATATATTTCTTATCTCCAGTATCCCTAGATATATTTCTTATCTCCAGTATCCCTGGATATATTTCTTATCTCCAGTATCCCTGGATAATCTAAATTTACCCTTTTCTCCATTATCCTTGGACAATCTAAATCTCTCCTTATCTCCAGTGTTCTTGGATACAATCCTTCTCTCCAGTATCCTTGGATAAAATCCTTATCTTCAGTATCCTTGGGATAAACCAGATCTATCCTTATCTCCACCATCCTTGGATAAAATCCCAATCTCCAGTATCCTTCGATACCCAAAATCTATCCTTATCTTCAGTACTCTTGGATAAAATCCTTATTTCCAGTATTCTTGGGTAAAATCCCTATCTTTAGAATCCTTGGATAACCCAAATCTATCCTTGAATAAAGTGAATTTATCCTTATTTCCAGTATTCTTGGATAAAATTCCTATCTTCAGAATCCTTGGATGAACTAAATCTATCCTTATCTCCAGTATCCTTGGATAAATCAAATCTATCCTTATCTCCAGTATCCTTGGATAAATCAAATCTCAGCAAACAATAGGATCGACAAAATCCACAATAATCAGTTCACTTCACTTTCTTTGGAAGAAGAAAAATCTTCAGAAATTGATTAATTGATAGAATTATCTGAACCAGTTGTACAATGTATTGCACTAGAGGTATTAATGAAACCCAGTTCTCCTTCTTAAGAACCCTCAATGGTGGATATAGAATCAATAATTTAGTAATTTTTTTAACGATATTTTTAATTACTCAACTGATTTAGCGAAATTTAATCTTTAGCTGCTACATCTTTTCAAATTTTGCTCCAAAATTTAGTGTTTGTATCTTATATCTAAATATTTGTAACTCAATTTTTTAAGATGTTCAAGATAGTGCCCAGAACATGACTCGTTTATCTTTCAAGAACCGGTTCTAGTTTGTTAACAAAAACAACAACAATGGGAAGACTTTTCCTCATTCTAGCTTTCCTTCTCACGTTCAAAGGTAAGCACTAAAAAATTAAAAGTACAACCAAACTTTTCTTGTTTTCAAATCAGTGCGCGTTTTTTGTTGCTTTTGATATTTGGATTTTTGAATGTTTTATCTGTTCTCTTCCAGAAAACAAAATCTTTTTAATTGGAGTTTTATTTACGTTTTATTTGTCAATAAGCATACGTAAAAAAAGAAAGCTTTTTTAATTGACAGCTTCTCTTTGTTTCCATGCTTTTGTGTATCCATGCTGTTTAAAAGCTTGGTATAAATCACAATTGAAATCGAAAGTCGTTTTCATTATATTGTTATAATTGCATACCACTGTATTTTTAATCTAATTATTCAAGTTTTTTCAGGGAGTAAGGAATAGAAGTGACGCGGTTCGCCCTACCAAATGATTATACATGCTTTGCAGACGGGTATATGAAATATTCAGAATAGGTTATTTTATACGCTGAAAATGTACATCAGACAAATATTTCTGATTCAAATGAAGTACCCGTCTGCAAAGCATGTAATTGTACAATCATATGATAGGGCGAACCGCGTCAATTATATCTCCCTTCTATTCCTTACTCCCTGGGTTTTTTACATAAAAATGTTAAGCCTAAATCGGGCAATTTTGTTTACCTTTTATGTTAATTGTCATATACCCGTCTCCCATATATGATAATTGTGACATTTACTACTTTTTACATTATCGACAGAAAAATCTTTAAAAATCTTTAAGAAATGCAGATAAAGCCTTTATTTGACCAAAAATGAAGAAGATATCTTCTTACTTCTTTTGCTTCTGTGTAGACTCCTGAAATCCAAGTAGGATTATAGCAGGAGCTTCATTATGGTATGTTCTTGCTTCTGTGTACACTCCTAGAAATCCGAGTAGGATTATAGCAGGAGCTTCATCATGGTCTGTTGTTGCTTCTGTGTACACTCCTAGAAATCCAAGTAGGATTATAGCAGGAGCTTCATCATGGTCTGTTCTTGCTTCTGTGTACACTCCTAGAAATCTAAGTAGGATTAAAGCAGGAGCTTCGTCATGGTATGTTCTTGCTTCTGTGTACACTCCTAGAAATACAAGTAGGATTATAGCAGGAGCTTCATCATGGTATGTTCTTGCTTCTCTGGTTTAAATAATCTAGTTCAGACCATCCTTTAAAGATTTCACAGTCTTGTTCTCCTTTAGTTCTGTAGGCAGTCTGTTCCAAGGTTCAACAATTCTGCTTATCAGTTCTATATGGCTTTCTCACGAGGTTTAGAGGATAGGATGACTTTCTTGTCTGTTTTGATGGTGCATTTCCAAGTGTTTCAGACCAGATTCTGCTCGCAACCTTATCAAAACCTTATAGAATCTTGAAAGTTAGTATTATGTCATATCTTTTGCGTCTTTTTTCAAGGGTTACGTGTGTAAACCAAGCTTTCAAGTTTTTCTTGGTAATTTCTCCCTTTTAAACCAGCCACTATACTAACCATTCTAATTTGAACTTTTTCCATGAACTTAATGTCTCCCTGAGTCCAAGGAGACCAGACAGGGGTTGCAAACTCCAGGTGGGGCCTAATCTAGTGTTTATACAGTTTCATAAAAACATGCTGATCTCTGTAACTAAGGACACTGCTTCTCTATATCATTAAAGTCCGGCTCTAAGGTTTTTTGAGTGATGATCCCCCTATAAGGTCTGTTTCCTGTTCAAGAACTGAGAGATCATACTGTAAACATGTTCATGGTTACTTTTACCTACAAGGAGTACCTTGTATTTTGCTGAGTTGAAACCCATACACCAGGTGTCTTCCCAGACCACCAGATTGTCAAGAACTTCTTGTATACTTAAATGATTATTTTCATGGTGGCACAGCTTTGTCTCATCAGCAAATTTACTTACAATAAACAAATCATTTGTACAGTTATCAATATCATTGATAAAAACTTTGAATGCAAGTGGTCCTACTCAAAGCATAATGAGTGCATAATTTTCACAATATTCCTCTATTTTTTTTTCTGCAGCAAAAAATCCAGCAGCCTTTTTTTTACAGAGAAACTACAGCTACTTATAAAATCAGTTTTTAAAGAGAAAAATATCCATATCTCATTCACTCCAGACTAGAAGAAGCTTTTAAAAAGTATATATATTGTTGTGAATCGAATGTTTACTTGAAATTAGGGTACAGTCCCTTTAGGACATAAAGAACTTTCTATATTCCTAATTCAACAGCTGATCCAGTGCCATTCTTTTTTCTGCCAATACAATTGAAACAATTCAATATAACATATCTTGATATATATATATGTTTATTTACTGTGTTTGTATGTGTTTTTTTGTGTGTCTAATAAACGTCAAAAACAGCTAAGCCTACAGGGCTAGGAGAATGTCTAGAAGAATGTCTAAAGAGAACTCCTCCAATGATTAAGCTGAATAAATTGTTTGAGTTTTACGATGTGTGAAGAATGAAAGAATGGTTGCATGGTAAGCATCGATTAAATGATCAAAATAATGCTTTAAAAAAAACAAAGCGCCCTTCAAACAAATAAATATATATTTGTTTGGTTGTTTGCATCCAATAAAAGTCAAAATGGCGGATACGGTTCGGGCCCAAATTGTGTATGACCCCAGGAAAGGTAGATAGAAAATTGAAAAATCATATAAAATTAAAAAATTATTATAAAAATATATAATTCTCAATAATATATTGTTTTAATCTTGTACTAATAAATACAGAAAAATCGGCAAAATCCTAAAGGTTCCTTCTGTATTTTCTCACTAAAACGCAGTTCTGGAATGTTCTTTAACAAAGTCTAAAATATTTTGCTTTGTAATACAAGCTATTTATAATATTTATTTTGTCAGGGAGAGAAAACATTAATTTTCTTCGATTCCGCTAAATTTAACTTTGACACTGCTGCAGAAAACAAAAAATACCTATGTTAGTTGTCAAGATTTTTAACACACTTTTTCCCTAAATTGATTTACAAACGCACGGGCTTTGGCAGATTTTCTTCTATGAACAAAACATTGTACAGTATAGTAAGACATTCATCTAAGTAGTTTGAACTGTACACAAAAACTGAATAGCGTACACAGAAACTAAACAGTTTACACTGTACACGCAAACTGAATAGTGTACACTGAGCCCAAAACTTAAGACAGAGCCCAAAACTTAAGACAGGGTATCGTCATGAAAACCAGCTTTAGAACCCGGGTTTCATGAATGGGGTTAGGCAGTTTTGTGGATATCCATATTTGTGTTATGAAATATTACTTTATTTAGTTTTATTTTTTAAAAACTTTTTAAATCAAAATCTACACAAATGTTAAGATCCCAAAAACGAAACTCGGGGAGTTTCGTTCAACGATACTCTTTTAAATTTCGGGCTCTGTACAGCGAAACTGAATAGTGTACACTATACACAGAAACTGAATAGTGTACACTATACAAAGAAACTGAATAGTGTACACTATACACCGAAACTTAATAGTGTACACGTACACAGAATCTGAATAGTGTACACTATACACAGAAACTGAATAGTGTACACTATACACAGAAAATAAACAGTAAACACTGTACACAGAAACTGAACAATGTTAAGTATGTACATAAAAATGTACAGTTTTTTTAATACAGACAAAAACCTTACTGTGTACAGTGTAAAAAAGACACTGTACAGCTCACCATGTACACGACTAAAACTGTGAAAGTGAGACCCATAAAACTGTTTGAAAGAAAGACTATGTTTAAACCCAAATTATGATTGGTGACAGTCCACTGAACATGAAACACAGTAATTGTGCAGTGTATACATTTCACAAACCCATTTCCACGGGCAGCCGTAGTACATTTGAATTTCCGAGCCGGGTCAACCTTTCCGGTCCCAGTTTGTACTGTAACTAGCTCTATGGACAGGACTAGCCGGTGGACACAAGGTTGACTCGGTCAGACATTATGCTTAATATAGGTTGAATTTACTTTTACCAAATGGGCGTGTTTTTAATTTTTAAACTTTTAGTAAAATATTTTATATCAACATCAAATAGACATACAATTGCTTAAATGTCGTCTTCCTATTCCACAGTTTTGGGGTTCCACTGTACAGAAGAAACTGTTGATTTACCGAGTTTGAAAAACAATTTACTCCAAGTGAGATCTTAACAAAGAGTCGCCAGGGGAGTAATAAATCCTCAGCGGAATACAAAGATTGCAAGTTTCATTCAACGATCTAAAATCCTAGAGGGAATGTAAGCGTACTATCAAGTACCCTCCATGCAAACATGACAATGCATGATTCACTTCGGGACCCTTAAATACTTTGGTTGATCAAGTATAAATCAGATGGAAATGTTTATAATTTTAAACACTATTTAGTTCCATTTGATGTTTTCCACAAAATTGAGTTGCGCATTTTTACTGCAGGAGAGCATGTAGAACTTAGGAGAATTAAAAACATTTAAACCTAGAAAAGTGACCTTCCATATCATTTATCAAATAAAAGTTTCAAGGGCATTGTCATCTTTGCCTAGGGGGGAGGGGGGGGGGTCACTTAAAATTAAGCGTCCAGTCCCTGTAAAGGAATTACTATTTTTTCCCTCCAGACTTTTTATATTTGAAAAGAGGAAATTATGATCAAAATCTTAGACATAGTATTTTTGGGTGTTAAGGACCTTTTTTTTATTTATACAATCAAGAGGATGCTTGATAGGCTGATCCGTTACGAACAGTAAACAATCAAAAAAAGATTAGAAAAATTTTATATTGCCCAGCAATAATTAGGATATATGTAATTGATCGTTGCACAGTACTAATTTGAAATACTAGCCTTAGAGGGCGCTTCGCTCCCATCTTCTAAATTAATTGTGAACATGTTCTCTTTGTGTACATCGTAAAACAAAACAAAAATAATTCGCGGATTTTCAAAATTTTCAAAAATTTAATGAAGATCGAATTTTGATGGAGACAAATATTTGAAATTTTGATCATTCATAAACCTTCCCTGTGGTCACGTGATGTCCCACAAAAAATTTGGGCCCGATCGGTTCAGCCGTTTTGACGTTTATTGGATACAAACAGACAGACAGACAAACAAACAAACAAACAGACAGACAAGCCAAATTTATATATAGAAGACAAGAGTATCGTATCTCCATATATTTTCTATAAACTGGACATATGTTAAAACTTTATTATTTTTTTTTTGGGGGGGGGGGAATTTCTCTGTTATCCATATAGAATTCTAAAAGTCTGAAAATATAGTTTTTTTTTCTTCATTTTTCTGTTGGTTTGTTTGTTGGTTTTTTAAAGATATTCAAATTGAATTTATTCTACATAGATATGAATGTATATTCTATATTCATGAATGGATTCGGAACAAAAAGTTTTTTTTATGTTGAATAAATTTGAATTATATATATTTTATCTGCCAGACAAGATATTTTTGGCGTGAATTAATTATTAAAACTGAAAAACTATAATATCTTTTACACAATTGTTAATAGAGCCTTGTCATCTATGAATGAAGAGAGTCAATTGAAATTTCGCGCACACACCCTTTGAATTGAATTTATAGGGATTATTTCAAAATAGGAAAATAAACTAGCTTTCGTATTAATACTGTATGGATGTCGCGCTCCAATACATTTTCTTTTTAAATTCGCAAAAAAATAGTTGTCGATTGAATCAAATTCAGGCATTATCATCAAATGAGTTATGCTGAAAATATAATTAAAAACTTGCCAGCTGAAGTTGCATTTATTTTTTTTTCGATGCTCAGAAAATCAATTTTACAGAATATCCTTGGAGAGTACTATTTAACCTTAAGAGAAATTACTTTTCTGAAACCTTGAAATAAAATATCTTTATATTTTCTTATTTTTGCCCAAATATCATATCTTAATTTTTTCTCCACTTTTTCCCCCCTGTTTTAATTTCTTGGTAATTTTCTCATGAATTCGTCCAGCTGAAGACACCCTGTGTCCGAATTTAATGAATTTGAGCCGCGTCTTAAATCCCCCAAAAACCGGTTTCAATTGAGCGCCGGCTGAAATCTTGAAACATTGAATACAATTTTAAGTGAAACCAACCATATTTGAGCCGCGGCTTAAATTTAAGCCGCCGCTCAAATTCTTTAAATTCGGCCTCTAAATTCTTCTTATTAAAATTAACGCTTAGAATTAGTGTTCAGGAGTGTTCTAATTAAATATTTATATATTGGACAAATATATATTTAGTTCTATTGAATATTTGAGGCAATTAATACATTTATAGAATACAACAATTATTTAAAGCCCAGCAGACAGGCAGAAGTAAATATTTTCTTGAAATGTATTGAGTCTTTGCCACAAACTCTGATTTTCTAATCCCTATATCTTTGCAACCCAATGTCGGGGACCTTAGATATTTCAAAATATGAATTCAGATCAATAAATCTAAGATTGAAATATCAAAGGTTTACACCATCAGGTTAGAAAGATATTAAGATTAGAAAATTTGAGTTTGTGGCAAAGACTTAATTCCTTTGTTTCGAAAACTAGTTTAAAGATTTAAAAACAGAAGTTAAAGGGACCGTAAACGTAATTTGAAGTGACACCAAATTTAAAGATGATGGTAGCATTTGATTCTTCCTCTCAGCACAAATGATTAAGATATTCCTGTTTTAGATAGAAAAATTGCTGATATCCAACTGTAGTTTCTCTTTTTAAATGACATTGGATTAATGCGGCAAAGACAATGAGGGAAGTCGTCATTATTTTACAAGTTTTTCCGAAAAAAACGATATCTTTGTGTTTGAATTAAGGTTTAATGAATAGGTTATTCATCGTTGTTTTCATATATTCGATATATTCGATATATTCGATATATTCGATATATTCGATATATTCGATATATTCGATATATTCGATATTTTCGATATATTCAATATATTCGATATATTCGATATGTTCGATTTATTCGATATATTCGATATATTCGATTTATTCGATTTATTCGATATATTCGATATATTCGATATATTCGATATATTCGATATATTCGATATGTTCGATTTATTCGATATATTCGATATTTTCGATATATTCAATATATTCGATATATTCGATATGTTCGATATTCGATATATTCGATATATTCGATATATTCGATATATTCTATATATTCGATATATTAGATATATTCGTTTAACGATTCTCCCTTAAATTTACGGTTCTGAATATTCCAGTACAGTACATTATTCTCTATTTTAGACAGTATCGGCGGTCCTCAGGAGAAACGTCTACTGAAGAACTTGATGACGGATTACAGTACATTAAACCGTCCTGTGCTTAACGAATCAGAGGCGCTTCTTCTCACATTCGGGGTTACTCTACAGCAGATCATTGATGTGGTAAGCTATTTTACATTATTCATACACTATATATTAATCCATATAATATATATACAATATATTTTCATCCATTTCATCTATACATTTATTCATCCTATCTATACATTTATGCATTTCATCTATACATTTATCAATTTAATCTATACATTCATCAATTTAATCTATACATTTATCCATCCTATCTATACATTTATGAATTTCATCTATACATTTATCCATTCTATCTATACATTTATCCGTTTAATCTATACATTTATCCATTTAATCTATACATTTATCAATGTATTTTATAAATTTATCCGTTTAATCTATGCACACTGCACTTAAAGGAATTAAGGTTTTGCCGCAAACTTATATTTTCTAATTTCTATATCTTTGCAATCCAATGTCGTAGACATTTCAAACTATGATTTCTATTAGATTAAATAATCTAAATTTGAAATATCAAAAGTTTACACCATCACGTTGCAAAGAAATGGAATTAGAAACTTTGAGTTTGTGGCAAATACTCAATTCCTTTATTTAATATCTTAATAATTTATTTATTAATTTTTAGGTCAAATTAATAATATTCTCTTTTTTGTTAAATCTTACATATATTTTAATAACAATTTATTTTTATATTGATAACCATATTTGTTATGTAATCTTATTTCCTATCAATTTATATAATTTCTTTAAATGTTCAATAAATAATATTTATGATATCTACATATTTTACAAATATACTTACATTTACGTTTTTCTGTAAACATTATTAATATTTGTTGATATAAGCAGATATGTGTATTTAGTTTTTTTGCTTCTAAAAGAAAATCAACTCTGGTTTTTATGGAACTAAATATCTACAATTTTTCATAAGATAAATCAGCAATAGGATCATATCACCAAACGTTAAATGTAAACAATTGATATGAAAAAATATTACTCTTCTAATGCCTAATACTCTAATATTTTGGCTTATCATTATATTTTTTAACTTTGTTATTTCAAAGAATGAAACAGTCAAAGTATAAAAATATCAATGGTTTACAGCATATGTATCACAAATTATATAGACATTTGAAATTAGAATTAGTGGCGAGTGAACCTCAACACGTTATCTGACTTCATTCTGCAAAATAGGGATCCGGATCTAGCCAATGTATGTTTATGGATTCTGATGGGAGNGGGGGTGGGGGGGGGGTGTTTGAAGAAGGATGGGAAAATTCATGTTTTGAATAAAATATCGGCGGAAATTAAACTGAATTCTTTTGCAAGAAATATCCGAATCATCTCACACTTTTAGAAGATAACAAAATGGTTAAATCAATGGATGAAAGGAAGGATGAAAGGCTGAAAGGTTGAATTGATGATAGTGAAAGGATGAATGAAAGGATAAAGACATATTTCTAGATTGTAGACTGAAGGAAATGACCTAAATTCTCACGATTACAGCAATTGAATGACACTGCAAGTTTTGATGTTTTTCTTCTTTTGCAAATTCATGACTGGATCTTTTTCTTACAAATTCATGCCTGGATCTTTTTCTTACAAATTCATGGCTGGATCTATTTCTTACAAATTCATGGCTGGATCTTTTTCTTACAAATTCATGGTTGAATCTTTTTCTTACAAATTCATGACTGGACCTTTTTCTTACAAATTCTTGGCTGGATCTTTTTCTTACAAATTCATGACTGGATCTTTTTCTTACAAATCCATGGCTGGATCTTTTTCTTACAAACTCATGACTGGATCTTTTTCTTACAAATTCATGGTTAGATCTTTTTCTTACAAATTCATGACTGGACCTTTTTCTTACAAATTCTTGGCTGGATCTTTTTCTTACAAATTCATGGTTAGATCTTTTTCTTACAAATTCATGGTTAGATCTTTTTCTTACAAATTCATGACTGGATCTTTTTCTTACAAATTCATGGCTAGATCTTTTGCTTACAAATTCATGACTGGATCTTTTTCTTACAAATTCTTGGCTGGATCTTTTTCTTACAAATTCATGACTGGAACTTTTTCTTACAAATTCATGGCTGGATCTTTTTCTTACAAATTCTTGGCTGGATCTTTTTCTTACAAATTCATGACTGGATCTTTTTCTTACAAATTCATGGTTGAATCTTTTTCTTACAAATTGATGTCTGGATCTTTTTCTTCCACATTTTTTCTTATTACTGATTCATGACTTATTCAGTCTTAAAAACAGTTTTTTTTATTCATACATACGACAATAAAGTTGTTATTCATATAAACAAAAATACATTAGGTTTTGATCTAAAAAATGTGAGGTCAGTGCTCAGCTGTCATAAACATCAATACAAGAAATTATAAAGAACTTTTCTTTTTTCTTTTTCCACTAAATTTTCAGCAATTTTCTTGCTTAAAATGAAGCAGTATGGAAAAAAAGCTGTCTTTTTTGAAATTGTTCGATTATTCGGAATTACATGGTCTGGTCTACCTTATTTTAAAAAGATATTAAGCAAACCACTTTAAACCCAGATTTATTCAAAATTACTTTCTAATCCCTCTTTTACTGGCATCACCTCATTGTCACAGATGAAATTGCACTGGAAGCTTTCCAGAACCAGTCTCTTACAAGAGCTGAAATTTTAAAAGTAAAACCAAAACTGGCTTAGACTCCAGTCCTTAGTACGCCCGGTTCTCTGTTCGGGTCTAACCAAATAGCTAACTGCTGCTTACACGGAACAATAATTCCTTGATTTTTTAAACTTCGGAAATTCAACTTTATCAAAATATTTTTTACCCACCATCAACTAAGCTGTGGGTGCGTTCTGCAATAATCTAGAATATACTTCCCAAAGAAAAAATCTGGTTTAGCAGAGAGTAAGATCTTACTTTGACACTACAAATGATTTTCAAAATTTTAATCATAAAAATGTTAATGGGGTTTAAGAAATTTACTATCTAAACCTACCAAAAGTTGCTTAAAAGCATAACAAAAATTAGTTTAGATTTTAAATAAAACCCAAGTCTAGCTTAAGTACAAGTCTGAGTTCAAGCGGTAATGTACCCTGCGCACCGTCAAAGGGTTCCAGTCTGGTCATTACCCCCTCAACCACAGCTGCGGAGTTCTCAATTCTCAAACTCATTTCTGACAACCACGTCTGCCCTACTTGCACCCACACTCAAGACCCAGCCTTCAGGCTAACCGACCAACAGACCAATCAACCAGACTATAAGTCTGTTTTCACCGACGCCTACCTATTGTTTTACAACGTTAAAGTCGTTTTTTCGGGCTTATGAATTTAGAATCTCAGCTCTGGTAAAACGTTCTCTTACAGTGAATTTAAACTAACTCGAACTTTTCTCCCCAAATCTTTATACCATATATAAAATCTATTAATTACTCTCTTTTTTTAAAAATTACTTACTTATAGAGAAGTAATAGCTGTTTATATTTTACTTATAGAGAAGTAATAACTGTTTATATTTTACTTACAGAGAAGTAATGCTTTTATTTTACTTATAGAGAAGTAATAACAGTTTATATTTTACTTACAGAGAAGTAATAAATGTTTATGTTTTACTTACAGAGAAGTAATAACTGTTTATATTTTACTTACAGAGAAGTAATAACTGTTTTTATGCTAGAATTTAAGGATTTATGCAAAGTATGTATAGGGCTTCATATGAAAATCTTCAATATAAATCAATGAAACCTGAATAAAATTAAAAATTACATAATGAAACTCCCTTGATCATCATTGATCGTTTTCTTTGTAATCTTAAACTAAATTAACCCCATAATAAAAAGCAAATAATGTAGGCGTACCTGTAGATATTAATGCAAAGGGAAAAAAATTTGTATAAAACTCTGTATTGAAAGTTTACAGAAAGGTTTTGAACAAGTTTAAAACAATTGATACTATCGAAAGAAACCTAAGAATATATTAATTGATTTTGTATCAAATTATTAAAGATAAATTTTACATTACACATTACAGAAACCATATTTTTAAAGTAATTTAGATTATAAAAATGTTTTGAGGGAGTGATAATAAGAAATATTTTAGGTTTAGGATAGAACAATTTCGAATTCCAATTCGGTATGAATCAGTGCTCTTAAAATTTCAACTGACCCTGTAGTTTTAGAGTAGTGTTTCTGATTCGTAACAACCCTACCTTTTACACTGTCCTCTGACCGATTGGATGAAAGAATACCTTAACTTGTCCTAAATATTTTTCTTGATGTTAATCAGATAAAGGTTTAAAGGATATCCTTGTTAATCAGATAAAGGTTTAAAGGGTACCGTTGTTAATCAGATAAAGGTTTAAAGGGTACCGTTGTTAATCAGATAAAGGTTTAAAGGGTACCGTTGTTAATCAGATAAAGGTTTAAAGGTACCCTTGTTAATCAGATAAAGGTTTATAGGGTACCGTTGTTAATCAGATAAAGGTTTAAAGGGTACCGTTGTTAATCAGATAAAGTTTTAAAGGGTACCGTTGTTAATCAGATAGAGGTTTAAAGGGTATCCTTGTTAATCAGATAGAGGTTTAAAGGGTACCCTTGTTAATCAGATAAAGGTTTATAGGGTACCGTTGTTAATCAGATAAAGGTTTAACGCGTAATCAGATAGAGGTTTAAAGGGTACCGTTGTTAATCAGATAGAGGTTTAAAGGGTGCCGTTGTTAATCCATCCTCATCTAAGCTTTCGGTGAATTCTGCAGTGGTTTGCAGTTGGCAATCTATTAATGAAAGGTCATTGAATCAAAAGCTCTGACCTCTGACCATAGAGAATAGAATATATATTCTATTCTCTATGCCTCCGACTGAGCATTTGTGCGTAATTTTTCAAACATGTTCCAAGCTTTCCATAATTAAAAGAGTATCTTCAATTTCCTTAATAATAATAATAATAATAATAATAATAATTATTATGTTTTATGCATTTATATGGATTCTGCAAACATATATTTTTACTGAAAGATCATGCTAAATATGGAAATAGATTCTAAATGAATATCTTTGTGAGAATCTGTGG